GATGAAGGATTCCAATAACTTTTTTTTACTAAACTTTTTAGTAATTTTGATTAGAAAATCCCTATATACAAACATCATTTTGTATGTAAAATTTAAACTTAATAATTTCAACGTTTTCAGGGCCGACAAGAAGGGGGGCGGCAGCAGCACAAGGAGGACCTGGCAGCTTTAGGTGAGGACTTTTTATTTCATTTTTTTGAAGTTCACCACAAAAGGGAGGAGCGCTGGTTTGTGTAAAGTACAAGACACAGACAATACACAGTGTCTGTAGCGCATTATGATGAGTGAGCCTAACACGAGTGAGACGATATGCCGAATGCATATAGCTAAACAGAGAGGACAACACGCCAACAGATCCTTCAAACTGTCAAAGAACACATTAATTGGCGCGCCGCTCACAAACAAGGTTGCCAAACCAGTGTTGCAAGTCTAGTACAATTCACAAATAGCTACGTTCGTTTGATCTGTCTACAGGCGCATAATTGTGTAAATATCCATAGGAATAGAGTAAGGGTTATATTTTAATATTTTATCATTCCGTTTCTTCTATTTTGCATAATAATTATTTTTTTTTAATTATATTTGACCATAAATATGAGACACGAGAAACTGGCTGAACACTAGTTCTTTTTGGTCTTAATAGGTTGGCAACATTTTTCGTTAGGAATTTGTCAGTTCTATGATCGAACTGTCACTTTTTTTTAAATAACTTGTTTTTTTCGATTTGATTTTTGGAAGATGATGGCCGTTGGGATTTAGCTCCGCATTGTGTTATATAATGTTGAGTAATAATTAGTTTCCGAGCTTTTGGTTTTGTCTAAGGGCCCCCGTGCCAATGTTTATGTTACTTTTATTTTTGATGTACCTGGTTTTTTGACCAAAATCTGAGGTAAGTGAGACGCCGAGAGATACTTTCTTCTACGTGCTGCTTGATCCCGGTAGCAGAAAAAACCCTCAAAAGAGGTAAGTCATTTCCTTTGCTGCTCCTGCATTTTCTGTGTCTGGCAAAACACTCATATTTTAATATATATAGGGTTCTTCCTGTGGATGAACAAGAGAGCCACAGGTGGTTATTATCAGAAAGCTACAGAATGGAATTCTGTCTTGCCAATATGCTGGTCCATTTTATTTATCCTGCGAAGCAGAGATTTCCTTTTTATTTCAAACGTTCTTGCGATGGTCCCGTGCCCCAAGCAGTCCTGTAACATGATTGAGCTTCGGTGTGCAGTGTGTAGCCTAACAGAGCGGCTCTTTCTAGTGCCGCTGTCAGACCTAGGAGTATATTTTGGTATTTATTATTTTTTCTTTAATTTTAACAATATGTTCGCAATGTCTATTTAGACACTTTACTTATATTTTGAAACGGGTGTTTCTTTATTTTCTGTATGATTTAGTTTTAAGAAAACTTTTTGTTTCTTTTATTTACAACCAGTTTGTAAATATTATTTTGAGTACTCAAAACAATATACCTTAATTTTAACAAGACGTCTCGGATAGGTATAAATAAATCTTCTTACTATTCATATATTTCTCCAACTATTGGCGAATGAATTGAGAGGGTATTTCCAATTACACCATTTCTATTGACTATAAGTTTAACTGTTTAAAAATGAATTGAGTATTTTCAATTATATTGTTTCTACCGTTTATAAATTTAAATGTTGATAAGTGGATTGAGAAAATACTTCCAATTTTATTACTTTTAGAGTTTGATTCATCAAATTAATTGGGTAAATATTGTTAATATATCATTATTTCTCTTTTGAGCAAAGAACGTTTGTATAATTTAATGCTCATCGAACAAATTGAGAAAATATTGTTAATATATCACTTTCATTTATTTTTCTATTAAATTCAATATAAATTATGTATGACTTTTATTTCACAGAATATCATGATCATCTCTACAAGTGTCTATTTGCAGATTCATCTATTTATGGTTTAATTATTTAAATTTTATTTACTATGGTTTCTGAATTTACATTTAGATTTTAAAAACTTCTTTATCAAATAATACCAAATTTTTTTATCTATAAAAAATTCAGTGGTGTCCATCTATGGTTTAAATACTCTTTTTTGTATTTTAAGTGTATCTAAAGTCAATTTAAAATAATTAAATTTCAGGGACAACAAATCTTTACTCCCACCTTTATGCCACCGACGGTAGAGCTGCTGTGCTGTATATAAAATACTCTTTGTCAAAAGAAAAAAATAGGTTACAAAGTTGAATATTATTGTTGAACTTTTTAAATTGTTTATTTTACCTCATACATTTTTTTTTCTACTCTTCATACAGTATTCTGTGAAGAGTATTATAGGTTTACTTTGTCTGTCTGTCTGTCTGTCCGATGTCACGTTTTTGCACGATAAGTCAAAAACGAGAAATGATATCAACTTGAAAATTTTAAGCAAATATCAAGCTCTATAAGGGGACAAAGCCTATTGATTTTTAACAAATCTGATTGAAAATAGCGGGTTGAAATTAAAAACGAAAAGCAATATCAATATGAAATTTTTAGTAAAAATAAAGCTTTATAAGAAGATAAAGCCTCTTGATACTGAAAAAAAAAAATATGAATATATTGGGGAACTCCCCTTAACTAAGGGGGGTTAAAATATAAAAAAAATCCTAACTGAAAAACTTGAAATTTTTAGCAAACATCAATCTCTAAAAGGAGAAGCCCTTTCATTATAAAAAAAAATCTGATTAAATATGGAGGATTTAAGGGGGGTTGATATTAAAAAAAAAATTAACAATGAAAAGCGATATCAACAGGAGATGAGGTCTATTGATTGTGAAAACAATCTGCTTAAAAATGGGGGTTAAGGGGGTCTGTTAAACTGCGAAGAGTATCATTTAAAATGCCAGGCATTATATATATCTTTATTCTAGTTTGTGTTTGTGTAATATTATGTATTGTGATGGGACTGATCTTATAAAATAAACATTTAAAACAATTTATTTCTTATTTTATTTGCCACTAAAAGGTATTTAAAAAATATATTTTTTATTTGACATCTGTGACAAATTGTGAAAATGATTAAACTTACAATAAAGACTAAAAATGGTAGGAGTTTCATGTAAAAATTTTTACACAAAAATCAATATAATCTGATATACATTTAAAAATAATCTCAAATTATGAAGAAAAGTCAGTTTACTAACTAATAATGTTTATAGATGGTTTTCAACGTATTAAAAACAAAACAAATATCACACTAACTAAAATATTCATTAATAGTTGTAATGCTTGAAAACAGTATGATGTTGATAATAATAACTACACTTAATACAAACTCAAATAATAAAAAAAACAGTGATATTGACTCTTGTACAAAGTTTTGATCCGAACTTACACATGATAAAATTATTGGAAAAAGTGAACACCCATTTTAAATTACCAAAAGACGCCACTGATTAATGTAATTTATTATTGCAATCGTTTGTCCACACAATATTTTCGCTATTTCTAGATCTTATTTTCTTTGTCCACCCAACAAAAATTACCTAGTTATCAACAAATAAGAAACTCATATGTCCCAAAAATTAAAAAAAACCCAGTGGGTTTTAATTAGGATTTCTCTAATATTATTCTGATACTCTGAAATGTTTAATTACGTTTTCTCGAAAACGGTTGAAATTATCAAGTTCAAATGGGTATAACAATTTTACATAATCAATATTACTAAAATTTTTCATAAAAAAATATTATCCAATTTTATCATCAAAATCGCATTCATAGTGTGTTACCTCTGTAAGAAAATTTAAAATAATAAATTAGATACTTTATAACAAATAGTAGAAGGTTTGATAATTACTATTTATTTATTTAATACATCACACAACAGTAATAAGCATTTAACGGGTGGGAAAATAATATAAATAGAAACATTAATAACAAAAACTGTTTTTTTAGATAATATTCAATAAAACATTTCTATTGATCTCTACCGAACATATCGGTATATTGATGATTAATAATAAACATTTATTAATCATTATTATGAATGTAAACGTCTCTGTTACAAATACAAACGATTTTTTAAAGTTTCCTCAGGTTACTGGATGAATGGTTGCAACACTAACGACATCTTCTGCTTACCATTCGACCGCGAATTATATAGCGCGTTCTAAGAGATGGCGCCACCAGTCCCATTTTCAGAACCTTGATACAACGAGTAGATAGAGATAATTTAAATTTAATTGCTACCTTTATCGGAATAAACGTGCCTTCTTATCTGAAGTTTCTCATCGACTTTATTGAATGCTGCTAGTTTAGAAGTTAATTATCATTTTATGACTTTTCTTTAACGTTCTTATTTTTTCCGATACCTACTTTATGACTAATTTATCGATATTGAATTATTTCGTTTATAGGTTCTAGAGTGAAAATTTATTGTTTTTTTTTGTCCATATAATTTTAAAAATATTTTATTTTCGGTAATTATTAAATTTAAAGTTTTTTTTTTCATGTTTGAATTAACTTTTCTGTTTGATTTTTTTATTATGTGCTGTTATTTTATTCACAATTTATTTGTTTAAAGTTCTCTGTTTTGATTTTTACTGCTTGCTCCATTTAAAATAATAGTTATAATAGAATTTAAACTGTTTTGTTTTTTTATAGAAATAACTATTTGTTTTAAGTTAAAATTTTACTATTACCTGCTTTGAGTTTTCACTGATTTAATAGATAATAACCTGTCCGATAATTTAAAATAATTATGGGTAGCAATTTTTTTTTGTTATTGTGATTAATATTAAATTGTGTTTATTGCATTTTAAAGACATTGATCGATATTGTTATCCATCATTTAATAATATTTTAAAAGAAATATTTTTTATGAATTATTCAATATTTAAAAAGAATATATGTGAGAAAACCTTTTAACTTTGAAATATATTTTTAAGAGAATACCTACCTTTTTTCGTTTAATATATTTTTTAAATATTATTATGCACTTTTTTTTACCTGAAAAGAGAAGAAAAGAAAACAAAAAAGTAATTGTAACAAGTAATATTTATTTTGGAAGTATTTTTTTTTATCAAAAATACAAAAACTGTATCACAGTAACGCTTGCAATACACACATTACAAAAATCTTTCTTTCAAGAATAATTATTGTCATAACATTTTTTTGATTAAGATTGCTTAAAACATTGCCTTCATAATCACAGGTACCAACTTCAAATATCACAAAATATATTTATTATTCATAAACATTAAAATTAAAAAAAATCTATTTTCATCCCTAACATTAAATTTAAAGCTTTTTAAAAATGGAAGAGATCGTCCCCTATACTAACTTAAAATTAACTTTAAAGCATTTGAGCAATTATTTAAAATAAGGAAAGACACAAGTGAGATTTTTTGAATATTTACAAAAATAATTAAAGTCTTTATTCACCAGGGTCTCCACATTTCTTCTTTTTTGGCCACTTTTAGTAAACCAGCAGTGGAACAGTCGATAGGCTGATTAGGGGATGGAGAACACCTCGACGAATTTGAAGAAGCTGGTGTTAAAGGCATGGTATAATGGTGTTGCACTTCACTTTCCAAGTTTGGCGATCCTGGGGGTGTGTATGGCGAAGAAACTTGAATAACCAAGGGAGACACTTTGTCCATTTCGTTCAAACGGTGACCCAAATGGGTCATTAACTTGGTACCTAACTGAATGTCGACTCCAGGAGTGGATGCCAAACACCTTGAAACTTCGTTGGCACAATGTGTGTATCCAGCTCTGAAGCGGTCAGCATCGATGACAGGATTTGTGGATAATCTCTGTTGTCTTCTAAGTTTGTGTAAGTGACGCACTGTTAATTCTAAAATGTCAGCTTTTTCTAATTTTGAGACATTTTCACCTTCGTTCTGAAGCGCTGTAACCATAAGTTCTTTAAGTTCATCTAGACAGCGATTAATTCTGGCCCTTCTTTTTCTTTCCAACATCGGTTTCATCACTTTTCGGTACTGGTAAGTACGCGAAATCGGTTGCGAATCTTCGACGGCAGTCGGTGCGATCATTTCGTACGACATTTTCAATTTCAAAACACTACTACGTAAACGTAAACACAAGCGATAAAAGCACAAGTTCTCTGCTCGAGAGTCAAGCGAGGTTTGAGTGCTCGTGTGGAAGGGGCCGGGCTTTTATAACAGACCCAGGTGTGGAGTGTAGTGAATTAACAGGCTCGACAGGCCTGTGTTGGTGAGCCAGATCGTGGGAATCTCAGAGGCTATGGTGTTCCCACACTTTAGCCACCTGTGACCACTCGAGCGCGTGCAGCTGCTTTCGTTCTGTCTCGCTTTAGAGGACGGTCTCGTTTCTGTTAGTCGGCGGCCATGGGCGGAGAACGGAGAGTTTAAAAAATAGTAAACAGGGTTTAACAATGTACTTTTTTAACAGTTTATTTTTTAATTTTTCTACGAAAATATGTACGGTGTATTTAGACAATGGAATTATTTAAAAAATACATTTCAATGTATGAAGCAGAACATGTTTATTTTATTCAATATGCATAGGATAAAACGCATTTGAAACATTCTTGAGTATGATTTAATGTGTAACAATTAAATGGTGATCCACAAAATATTTATAAATATATAGGTAGGTACGAGTCGTATCTGTGATACCTACGCACGACTTTCAATTAAATCCAAATCAGCGCATAAAAATAAGAATAATTGTATGCTCCGATATCCGAAATGCCTGAATTTTTCTACAGCCTACTTTAACCTACTTTAAAAGTATTTTTTCTGGATCATTCCACATTTTTCATAGAACGTGTGAAGCATTTCTTGAAGGCTGTATCGTATGTGATTGAGTTGACAGATTCTTCACTGTGTTCACAGTGTTGACAAAACTTCTAGATCAATTTTTTTCCTATGTAGGTATATGAGATTTTTGTATTTTTGACATATTGTAATGTAATGCCTTTTCGTTGCATGAGAAATTATTTTTGAAAAAAAATAATGAGTATATATAATATGTATCAGAATAGCTGGGAAAGGTGGTTAAGGTCCACACTATCTAGGTTCATTGTACATTCTCATCGAGTGGTTTTCTCTAAGCTCGTCAATCAGCCTCTTTGAAAAACTTGACAAGGTCACTAAGAGATGTTTACGAAGAACATACGTATGTTTGCTTGCGTATGTCGCCAGAAACCACTTGTTGTTTAATTAGTTGGATTACTGCTGATACTCTCGTATCTGTGGAGAGATCGGGTCCAAAAAGTTTTAGCTCAGCAGCTTTAATGGCATGCCAGTTAGAATTACGATTTATTTTTACGGCACTGTGCCCTTTAGACCACCTCAGTAAGACCACATTGTTATCTAATGCGTCTACAAGCGTTTAGAAACATTCTATCTAATATCAAGACTGATGTAAGTCGGTATATGGCCTGTAGTGCTTGTCACCTGTAGTATGAATTTCCAAAAAAAGATTAATTATTGTTTGATTTTTGTGTTCGTTAATTTATTCATAACAATTTTTGAAAATATTTAATTTTTTTTATACATTTTTGTATCCCTTTTCGGCGCTCATGGTCCGTTCTATGAAGACCTGTTAAATGCAATTGTTCCTTCCTTCACATTACAGCACAAACTATCTCTATCTTTGTCGTGCGAGCTCGTGCTGGTAACGTGCTCGCCGATTTTTGTGATTTTGTTAAAGGGAGTCTGATTTTTTGCCCCTTTATCGGTATTCCGGGGGTAATAGGGCACAGGGCGACCCTTTTGACTTAGATCGCTGACCCCGGGCAATGCGGAAGGTGATGGAAATGTTAGGGTTGGGTTTATGACTCGTGATATACCTAGTAGATGAGAGTTGATTACATTAGAATACAATTATTTGTTTTGAGGTGTTGGAATGTTGTGAGGGTAATAATTAATTAAAAATGTTCATTTTGAAAGTGTGAATGATTTTAATTTTTTCAAATTCACTTTCACTTGGGATTTAATTCTCATAAGTTATAAATAATACATGTTGTAAAAAGTAAGTCCTAAAATAGGTATACCTACCAAATTTTCTGGAGTTAAAAATAGGTGCGTCAGACTGCACAATTAATGGGTTAACCCATCCTCCATACGTTACAGATACACAGATAGAAGCGTCAGACCTACTTTAGAGAAAATAACTTACACAAAAAATAATTTAAATTTACAAATTGAAAATAGATTTTTCCCAATTACTCGGAAACTTTTAAACAATTTGTAGGGCCGCGCCTAGCTTTGGATGCGTCCCTGGACAAAAACTGAAATAATAGAAATATTAAAAAAAATGTTGCAGTTGTTTGTTTATTAATTTACAACAATTATTTAAAAATGCATTATTTTCTTTACCGAGTGCTGTGGTAAACAATAACTAGAATGAAGATATATACTGGGTCTTAATAAAAGTGGGGGATGTTTAAGAGGGTTGAAATAATAAAATAATCCTAACTCAAAAACAAAAAAAATTCCTTAAGATTTCAAATTGATATAATTTTTTTGTTTTTGAGTTAGGATTGTGATTCTTATTTTAATACCCCTTAATCACCCCATTTTTGTTTTTTTTTCAGATTCAATGCTTCATCCCTTTAGAGAGCTTGATTTTTACTAAAAATATATCGCTTTTTATTTTTGACTTATCGTGTGGACAAAAAACGTGACATCGAACGGACGGACTGACGGACTGACGGACTGACGGACTGACGGACTGACGGACTGACGGACTGACGGACTGACGGACTGACGGACTGACGGACTGACGGACTGACGGACTGACGGACTGACGGACTGACGGACTGACGGACTGACGGACTGACGGACTGACGGACTGACGGACTGACGGACTGACGGACTGACGGACTGACGGACTGACGGACTGACGGACTGACGGACTGACGGACTGACGGACTGACGGACTGACGGACTGACGGACTGACGGACTGACGGACTGACGGACTGACGGACTGACGGACTGACGGACTGACGGACTGACGGACTGACGGACTGACGGACTGACGGACTGACGGACTGACGGACTGACGGACTGACGGACTGACGGACTGACGGACTGACGGACTGACGGACTGACGGACTGACGGACTGACGGACTGACGGACTGACGGACTGACGGACTGACGGACTGACGGACTGACGGACTGACGGACTGACGGACTGACGGACTGACGGACTGACGGACTGACGGACTGACGGACTGACGGACTGACGGACTGACGGACTGACGGACTGACGGACTGACGGACTGACGGACTGACGGACTGACGGACTGACGGACTGACGGACTGACGGACTGACGGACTGACGGACTGACGGACTGACGGACTGACGGACTGACGGACTGACGGACTGACGGACTGACGGACTGACGGACTGACGGACTGACGGACGGACGGACTGACGGACTGACGGACTGACGGACTGACGGACTGACGGACTGACGGACTGACGGACTGACGGACTGACGGACTGACGGACTGACGGACTGACGGACTGACGGACTGACGGACTGACGGACTGACGGACTGACGGACTGTCGGACTGACGGACTGACGGACTGACGGACTGACGGACTGACGGACTGACACATTCGTCAAAAAAGAGTAACTTTACACACTTGTTGCATAAATAACTATTTTGTCACTAAAAGAATAGATTAGTTTCATATACACCTACTAAGAAAATCAGTACGAAAAAAATTCTATTTGATTGCATTTTATTTTTTATTAAATTTGTAGTAGTGTCAGGATAGCTTAAAGGCTTCCTGGCAACTCTTCAGTTTCTTGTTTCATTCCATCTTTCCTCGAATTACACAAGAGAATGTTCTTTAATTAGGTCTGTCACTACCGATATGGTTAGTCCAATAGAGGGGCCAGGTCCAAAAAGTATTTGGTTGGCTGCCTTCTTAGCTAGACAATCAGCAAGATGGTTACCTTTGATCCATCCTAAGGTGACCAAATTATTGATGGATACTTTGGCCAAAGCTTCTAGTAGTATCCCTGAATAAATTAGTGGTCTGTTCAGGAAGAGTAGTATTTGTCTGCTATCTGTACAGATGAGCATGTTTCTTCCAATTATATTGTTTTTGGTGATTTCTTTTGCTGCTATGAGAATCTCTGTGAGCTTAGTCTGGACTGCACTGTTGCTATTGCTGACAGCTCATTGGCGTGGGAATGAGTCTAAGAATGCCTTCCATAACTGTGGTTGGTGTTGTTTTTATTGCTCCTGTTACGTTGAGACATGCCCCTCTTTGAATTCATTCTAGTTTGCTGATAGCTTTCAATTGGGTTTTCGGTACCCAGACAATTGCAATGTATGTTAGCATAAGTCTTATAATGGCCATTTAAGTCCATGTGACGACTCTGGGGGAAAAACCCCAGGTGCGCCACTCGGTTCGGCGACATTGTTCATAAGCAATTTATGCTCTTTTGACTCTGTTTTCTAAGTGTGAGTTCCATGCTATCAACTTGCTATCAAAGGTCAGACCTAGGTCTAGGTACGTCACCTCTATTGCAAAGTTTTGTTTTTTTGTTTAGGAGCTCTTGAGGTTTCAATTCCATTTTATCCTTTTCCTTGTAAAAAGGACCATTTCTGTCTTGGAATTGATGGACAGTGAATGGTCCGTCCTTGCACCACTGTTCTATAATTTTGAGAGCTACTTGCACTATTTCGCAGAGTATGTTCTCAAAATTCTCTGTTTTGCAGAATGACCAGGTCAACTCTCGCCGGAACCCATAGATTTTCCTCTTCCTCTTCCCCCAGCTCTCTCAATTTTCCTTAAAGCCACCTTTGTTACATCGTATAGAAGGACGCCAAGCTTAGGTACTAGAAATAATTCTAAGATCGTTCATTCGTTTGACAGTGTTAAGTTTTCGTGTACGAATTGTAGTAAACGTGAAATGACAGAGAGAGGTAAGAAAATCGGTTTAGATCCGAAAACTGAAATATAACTTCAAATATACAAATTCTACTGTCGTGCGTTTTTAGTTCAATTGGTAGAAGCGCCGAGAGCTATACTATATTCACATTTTTTTTCTTTATTTCTCAGCTTTTTCAATTTTTCTTTGATTTGTTTTCACTTTTGGGATGGGGAATTGGGGATTATATATGGGAATTGCATATTTCAGTTTTATGAAAGAGGAAATGTACTCGGTGTAAATAACGGTCGATCAATTGTAAAGTAACAGAATCATTGAGGCTATAAATAAATTTAACCATTTATTTTCCAAAATATTCTGAGGGCCATTTTGAACATTTGTTCTTCAATGGGGTAGGAGAACTTTTT